TAAAATAAATTTATTATTATTATTATTATTATTGTTATTATTGTTTACTTATATAGAGCATATAAATAATGTAAATTTACAACATAGTTAATTCTTCAATAATAACAAAATCAATCAAAATCACAATTTTTTTTAAACAAATAGCACTATGGGATATGTATATGTAATGTCCACAAAATTAAAGAAACTTTGGACAGATTTTAATGACAATTCTAAGCTCTCTTTATTTCTGTTCTTCCTCCTCGAACCTCGCTTACGCCCTCAATCTTTACACTCGTTCCCGTTACCACAGTATAGTGCAATATAACTTCTTTTTTTACCTGGCACGAGGCTTTGTGGCCGTAGCAGTGAAATATAGGAATAGTCATAGTTAATCGAGTTAGCATATCATCTTAATTTTCCTTCTAAACAAGTAATTAATAAACAAAGTATATAAGTGTATAAAGGATAAACAGTGTGTCTAACCATAATTACAATAATTAGGATTTAGCCTAATGAGAGTTCTTAGTTTGGAATCAATATAAGCTTTATAGTAAGGAAAAGACTCATTTAAAACTTCTTAATTGTGAGTTATGAGATATCAATACTAAAGTTTCATACTTGTTTGTTCACTGCAAGTCTAAACCAAACCAGTTTTTGTTTAAACTATAGGTGTACATGCTATAAAATATATAAATGTGTGATTGCTTATAAGTACCATGTAGGACTCATAATCTACATTTCCACTTTACAAAACATCTTAATAGAAAAATAAAGAATGCCTAACCTTTAAGTGTGAGAATAGGACACATGCAATATCATACGTAATATTTAGGTGTTGGTCCGTAGCTGCAGAGCTTAACAAATTATGTAGAAGAAATACCGGGTATGCCAACCTCAAGAAAAAATTAAATAACAAGTATTAAGGAAACAATACTATCAAATTGAATGCTACTAATTATTATAAATGTTGAATAAATCAAATATTGAGAGGCTAATAAATGCTTAGACTACTGTGTACCCCGATAGGGAACATGCAGAACAGATGTTTACATTCCTCTCTTCTTCTTACATAAATTATATTATATATAAAATATAAATGGTAAAAAATTATAATATAAATGTTAAAAAATTAGGCATATTTTATTAAACTTATACCATTCATTTAAACAAAACAATTGCTTAAATAGATATGAGTTAAACCCATACACGACTTGAAACTGATTGACTGTGAAGACTGCAAATTTTTTTTGACATGCCCAAATACTGATGACATCACATATGTCATCAGTATTATATGAAGGCAAATCATTACTATATATGGCAAGGCAACACAAAAGTTTCTTGTCACATACATTTTACAGTATGGTGTCTACTTATTGCATGTTTATATTTTCTACATACTGCAGTTACACTGTAGACAATTTTTGTATAAAATTAAAGCTTCTCAAACCCCTAAATTGTCATATTTTTGCAGATTTGCCCCTGGACCCCATTGACAACATTTTATGCGACAC